CTAGCTTCAACAGCACAAAGTCTGCTTCGACTATTAAGGCACCCCCGAAATAGCGGGTCACAAGAGCGTGACAAACATATACTACTAAAAGTAAAACTAAGTTAGCTACACACCTGTTCTTCAACTGAACAAAACATTTCATCATGCTGCCCAGAGAATCCGCTGCTTTCTTCTGCTCCTCCATCCACCTGCATCTCATCAGACGGACTCCTTTCAAATTCTTTGAATGACTGTCCTGTGCCACGGAACTGTATTGAAAAAAAAGTTAATTCATTAATCATTATCTTCATTACCATTTGGATATCATTAGCTCTACTTATGTCTCAAAAAGTACTGAATAAAGTCCAGACTTTCATCAACAGACGTATCCTAAAAATGAAGTGGCAGGATAGAATAAGAAATGAAGAGCTGTGGGAAAGGACAGGACAAAAGGATATAGAAGTAGAAATAAGACTAAGAAAGTGGCGATGGAAGGGACACACATTCAGAAAGCCCAGCAGAAATATCACAAGACAGCCACTGCAGTGGAACCCACAGGGAGCATGAGGCAGGGGTAGGCCACAGGAAACATGGAGGAGACGCGTGGAAAGGGACATGAGAGAGATGAAGCTCACTTGGAACGAGGTTGGAAGGATGGCCCAGGACAGAGATAAATTGAAGGAGCTTGTAAGTTGCCTATACCCTGCCAGGAGTGAAAGGCATTATGAGGATGTCTCAAAAAGACCACGATGAATCATAAGATCGTAATAATTGCGAGTAATTCTTGACCTAACATATTGGTGCAGGGTGGTACTGATTCATTGTTTCCTCTCTTGAGAAAGAGAAAAAAACCCACTTTATTAAAAAGTGAATGTAAAAGTAAAATCACTGCCAAAACATGACAAAATTCCAAAGAGGCAAATACAGGGGTCTTTTCATTTAGTTATTTTTTTCCCCTTTCTTCCAACAAACTAAACTTTCAGAAATTCAGTGCTCACCTCAGATCTGCTCTCAAAAGACCCATCTCCTGTTTGCTCTGATCTGGAATCTTCTTCCACAATGGCAACAAGCATATCTTTATCCGTCCGGCCGGACTTTGGGGTCTGGGTGACATTGAAAGTATGGTCCAAGACCGGGAAAAACTGGTGAATGTTCACTTCACCTGGGTCTCTGTGGTAGTCTGGGTTGGCATCAACATCATCTGAAACAAAATGTTTACCTTGATCGCACAATGAAAATAATACTTAGCATTTCATTTTCAGGGAAAATGAGCATAATGTGAAAAGAAAAAGTAGTCTGAGAGAAAAATAGAAAAACTAATAAGAAAGGCACAAATCCAACATGCATGTGAGTTGCATTGGGAATCTTATTTTTCAGTTGTTACAGTACACCCTGCCCCCCAAAATATAGGACTGTGATGACAATAAAATCAATAAGATGTTCCTCATGAATTCTCTAACAAACTAAAAGACAGCAAGGGTATTTGTTTCAGAGTTGCAAAAGTCATTTCAAATTTCTGTATACCATATATGATTGGAAAATAACCTGCTGGTTTCAAACAAGTAAATCAAATTAATTAATATTTCGTCCTTCATACAAATGTTCAGTGCATGAGCAGTGACCTACTTAGGGACACATCAGCTTCTATGGTGTAGTTTTTGGCTCTTCACCGTTGCACATAGAGGGGACAACATGTGAGTGGTTGGCGGGTGCTTTGCTGTGGTTTGCTCCTTCTTTCCTATAAGAAATCTATCTTCTCTATCTTCCCTCCTTCTTTTTTGTGTTTGTTGCTCTCCTGTAACACTTCTAATCTTCGGCACTTATATGACCTTATTGTGTTGCAAGTGCCGTAAAACTCTAACTGAAACTAAAAGGAGAGGACATAAGTTTGATTCCCCAGTGGACTAATATTTTATTGAGCATCTCCATCTGACCAGTGGGTGAAGTATCGCATTTAGCCCAGTTTGGCCTTGACAGGTATGGCAAAAACAGCTCACCTCCTCGATTATCAACATTGCATTGATTATTGTTTATTGTTCATTGTTTCAGGAAGCAAAATCCCTGCATTCCGGACATGTCCATTGATGCTCCGATGCTCTCTCCAAAATGTCGCTGATTTAAGGTCTTTCTACTGATTGTGCCAGTGCTTATCTGGTCGAACATTCTTCTGTTCGTTTCCTGCAAGGGTGCGAGATTTTCCGCTTCCTTTTTGTATTCCCAAAACCATCAATTACATTGATGGGGGAGTAAAATATTTCATGACAAAAAAAATCTCAGGCATACTATCTATTACAAAATAAAGAAGAATGTCTCAAACGAAGAATAGCTGTTTATTTGATTTCAAAAACTTAATCCTCTACCTGCATCATGCTCAGTGGACTCCCTGTCTCCGAACATACTGTCTGGCTCGGATACTTCCGTGGTACCTGTGTCAAAAGTTCCCGAGTGGTGTGAGGTGAATGGAGTGGTGCTGCTCACTTTTGGCACCTCCGAAGATTCAACATCTCTTTCGTCACGAGATATGTCATTTGGATCTAGTTTCTCATTATAAGAGTCAGGACTATTTGAATGAGATGCCATAGCGCTTCGGTGTGTTGTGACAAATTTTTGTCACTGGGTCCACATCAAGTTACTTTGTTTCTCCTGAGGAAAGAAACAAAAAAATTCTAACCAAAATATTTTCACAGCTGGAGAATATATATAAATAAATGTAGCAAGGTTCACTTCACCAGTCAAATGACCCCCAAAACTAGAGACACAGCTTTATAATACACCCCAGACCCCATGTTCTCAGAGAGACAGACACAGATTTATAATACACCCCAGACCCCATGTTCCCAGAGAGACAGACACAGCTTTATAATTCACCCCAGACCCCATAATGTTCCCAGAGAGACAGACACAGCTTTATAATACACCCCAGACCCCATAATGTTCCCAGAGAGACAGACACAGCTTTATAATACACCCCAGACCCCATACTGTTCCCAGAAGCCCTGAATCTCGAGACAATGTGAGAACTGCTCATGGAGTGTTTACAATGGATGAGAAACAACTGATAATATAAAGGACAAGCAACTGTGGTGGAATGGATTATGTCCCATATCATTACAATAAATAAACTGAGCAGATATGAATTCATATATAAAATCTTGTCACAATTGTAAAGAAATACAAAGAAACCATACATCCCAGAACATATGCAATAGAATTATATGTAAATGATACACAAGTCCACACTGTGGAATAACGTACATTACATATAAAACCTCTGCTATGGCCTACTTCGTAACATATCAGGATTTAGACAGTACCTTTTTTTTACTCAGTAATCACATTTCGGTAATGAACAGTGTTACGTGTACTAGAGGACAAAAATAAAACAAAGAGCCCTTTCAAGTGTGTGTTTCTTCACTCTCTCTAAATCTGCTTGTACCCCCAAATCGAACAATATTACACACACATTTTTTCCAATTAAAATACCTAACCCATTAAGAATAATAATTGTTGTTGATCCAGTGTGCTATCAATGTTCATCTTGATTGTCAACTATAGGGTAAAATACTCAAAGTTAAGAATGATTGTATGATGATCAAAACCAATGCTCACATCATCAAAATTCACTTTCTATTTAAAGTTTGAAGCAATCATGTGACAATTATGAGTGCCCACAGGGTAAAAACATGTACTGAGACAAGAAAGACCACATATAAACTTGATAATATTGACATGTAAGTTAACACAGTGGCCATAATAACGACACACATATTCTCTTTAAAGGTAGTAACGTCACCAGAGTTGTTAACCCTCCCCCCCCCCTCCAACCCCTCAAATTTACATTTACATGTTTTAATTAAGCTTAGAAAGAAAGCTCCCTGGTTGCCTAATTGCTCATCTCATGCAAGCCTCTGTCCATGTTTCAAGTCAGCTCTCAATAAAAGACAATAATGTTCTTAACAAAGTTGTCACTTGCACTTGACCTTGGTTGTTGTTTTGTTTCAGTTTTAGACCTAATTGACTGATTGATTGGCAGCATCGCCAAACATTAGTAGATCTAGATTTACACACCACATAGATCTAGATCTAGATCTAGAATCTAGATCTATTTCTAAATCTAGATATCTAATTCTAATTATTTTTTTTAGGATTAGAGTAGGGTCTGGGAAAAAATATTAATTTACAGCAAGGTATGATTCCACGTTTACTACTTCTTGAAAGTGTAAGTCGGAAACACTGACTGAAATTATGATAAAGACATTTACCTAAAGTTTTCATATTGTACTCAGTCAAAATCATCATAGAAGTCGCCATGTTGTTATTGGATTTCCATGGAAAGATTCGGCTCGCACAAAATGAAGATGCCGGTGAATCGTTCAATTTTTAACCCTATTCCGGTGGAAGGGTGAAAACTACTTCCAACTGAAAAATGCCCTGTAAAAAAATAATAATAACGCTTTCATTAAGTTTCGTTTTGGTTTTCTCTGTGTAATATTTGAGGCAGCATTGTCAGCTTGGTAGAACCACTACTTAAAACTGATATCAATATCAAATACGTGGTACATGTATTTCGGAGACAATACTCTTGGAGCTCAATATATGTTCAGTTATATTTTATTGTGTGTGAGTAAGTGTAGCCCTTGAAAGGGGCCCATACATTTGTAAACTGTATGTCACGTAAGTGAAGAGACCGCCAGAAGAAATTTTTAAATATTTTTGGGGGTTAATTTATTTATGTTATTTTACATTTAGTGCCCATGGACACGACTGAGGTTGGTATCTGCTATAATGCTTTCAACTTCAGCTTCCCGAGTCTATGCATGTTGGCCTATATCATAATTAATGTATTGTATTGTTTGTTTCTCCCAGCTCTTGTTCGTGTGTTAGTGTTATACCAGTGAAGTGGAAAAAAAACGAGAAGAAAGAAAAGAGGTGGACGACGAAAACAAAGGACAATCCCTGTGGTGTTAAGTGTTTATGATTTAGAAAATTCGTGCATCAGCAGTAGACCGAAAAACAGAACT